GCACTAGACTCGGCGAGAGAGTTGCAAGACACTATGGTAAGGGCAAAAGAGTGCGGCGGTATGATGACGTCTTCAGCAACAAATAGTTTGTCCCCGGTTTCATGAGCATCATATAATGGAGCGTCGTCAAACACTTCAAATGCCACCTCAGCGCGCGAGCAATCGATGACGGCCTTATTAGCGGAGAGAAAATCCCAGCCCAAAATGAGGTCATGGGAGCAGGAATCCAACACTAGCAATTCAACAACATAAATGAGGCCATCAATTGCGATGCGAGCAGTACAAGCAGCGGCCGGTGTGACGTGATCTGCACTGGCTGTACGAAGTGATACACTAGCTAGTGGCGTCATAACTTTTTTCAGCAAGCGGCAGAGTCTAGCACTTATCACTGAAACTGCGGCACCAGTGTCGACAAGAGCGAGTGCAGCGACGCCGTCCACATGTACGTCCAGAACATTCGTTGGTGAAGTGAGAGGCCTTGGTCTTTTCGCTGGCGACGCAGTTCCTGCCTCTGGAACTGCGGCAATTAGTTTTCCCGCTCCGGCGATGAAGGACGACGACGCATCGGCGATGGCGAGCGGCGTCGAGGTGATGGCGAGCGGCGGTTAACAGGAGGGCGGTGGTCGGCGTACGATGACATCTGGTCGGGTGGCTGAGAGCCTGTGAACGAACGGCGCGGTGGCACATAAAGGGCAGGTTCGAAGGTCTGGTCGTAGCTCTGTCGGTAGACAGGAACGCGCCGACGGCAGTATCGCGCTATGTGGCCAGGTAGCCCACAGGCAAAGCATATTGGGCGATTGTCGAGTGTACGCCATTGTCCACTACTCTGGACGGACCTTGACTGAGCGAACCGAGGAGTGAGTCGGAGCGGCACGGCTGAGGGAAGCGACGTAAATGTCTGAAGAGGTGGTCGAGCCGCTACTTCAGCATAGCTTAGAGGTGCATTTACCTCGGCACAGGCAACAGGGCTCGGCAAGGGTGAAGTGTCACGGGCAGATGGCAGAGCCGCGCAAACTTGCTCCTGGATGACCTGGCGAATGTTTGCTGGCAGAGGTGACGCTGGTTGGCCGGCTGTTGATAGCAGCGATAGCTGACGAGCGACCTCAGCACGAACAAACTCCTTAATCTGCGATAGCAGCGACTGAAGGTCAGATGTGGTGGTCAGGCTGGAGAGGGTGTCATCCGGGACGTCAGGGCGTCGAGTGAGAAGACGCTGTCGTCGCAGCTCGTCGAAACTCTGACACAACTCAATGACCTCAGAGACAGTGACAGGGTTCTTGGAGAGCAGCATTTGAAAGGCGTCGTCGGAAATGCCTTTCATGATATGTCGCACCTTGTCAGTTTCGGCCATCGACCGGTCGACACGCCGGCAGAGGTCAAGGATGTCCTCTATGTAGCTGGTGAATGTCTCACCAGTTAGTTGGGACCGGCCTCGTAGGCGTTGTTCTGCGCGAAGTTTGCGCACACCAGGGCGTCCAAAAACATCTGCGATGCAGGTTTTGAAGGTAGTCCAGGTGGGGATATCCGCCTCATGGTTTCTGTACCACAGCTTGGCAACATCCGTTAAATAAAACATCACGGTGCCAAGCTTTGTGGGATCGTCCCATTTGTTAGTAGCGCTGGCTCGTTCATACGATTCCAGCCAATCCTCAACGTCTTTCTCGTCGGTGCCGCTGAAGATGTCGGGTTCTCGCAAGAGCTGTGCACCGGGACAGCTCCTGCGTGGCGAAGCCGGTGGGGGTGTGAAGACAGCGTCGTCAGGCATGACGGACGGCAGCTTTCGGCTACGCAGTTCCAGGACTGGGGAAGACCGCAGCACTCTCCACCAAAATATAATGTAAATGCAAGGTAAACAGCGGTAGCGGCGTCGGTACCGAAGCAGCAAGAGCAGGCCGAGTATACGGGCAGCGTCGCAGCAGCAATCAGGCAGTCCTAGCTCGTGCCTCGCGCCCACGTGTCGATGTCGCTGCAGTAGTGGGCATTCCTCTTCACTACAGTATGTATGTATGTATGTATGTATGTATGTATGTATGTATGTATGTATGTATGTATGTATGTATGTATGTATGTATGTATGTATGTATGTATGTATGTATGTATGTATGTATGTATGTATGTATGTATGTATGTATGTATGTCCATCCATCTATCTATCCATCTGTCTGTCTGTCGTCCATTTGTCCACATGTCTGTCTGTCTGTAGTTTTTCGTACATCCGTCCATCTAGTAAACACTCCAGCTAACGCCGTCTCGCATATTTTCATCATATATTCATCATACACGAGTAACGGCATCCAGCGGACATTCTAAGGACTATAACAAGAGGCGGCTACTACATACAGCAGACGCATGAACCACGCCGTAAAGGGGCCCTGCAACACTTTTAGAGCATGGTCACAAAACGCTGCTGATCGGTAGTAGAGGCTTGCGACATAATAATATAGTGAAGCACGTGGCCTGGAATTCACAATAAGTTATCAGCTGAAAATAGCTTTCTCTTCTCTCGACAAATCACGGAAAGTGAGCCCAGTAAGCCCATTTATCGGCCATTGGCTGATTTCAACATTGCGTGCTCGGTTGTTACACAGGTCACCGCAAAAGGCCATCACTTGTCCATGCACGCACGTGCGATGGCACTGAGAAAGCCGCGCATTCGAAGAAAAAAAATACTCAAGGTCACGAGGCGCGAGTGACGTTTTTTGTTTGCTCCTCCCACCCCTCCCTGCTCAGCTTCCAGCGCTTTTATCGGGACGAGAAAAGAGAAAATGTGATTGCAGCGTGTGACAAATCTTTGCAACTCCACTCGTACTGAAAGAATCCTTAAAATTTTTGCGGCGTTAAACTTGAGGTAGTACGCTTTTCCAGTGAATTAACTCCATGGTTACTCGAAAAAGTGTTTCAGGGCCCCTTCAAGAGAACTGCGATGTTTTTTCGATTTTTCGGTATTCAGTGATATCAATAAAACTTGGAACATGTGCTCTCATCGGTACCCTGCTAAGTTGTGTCAAATTATACAACCGTAAGTCATTTAGTTTGTTTAGAAAACAAGTTTTAAAATTGGTAGCTGATTTTGGAATCACACCTATAAACGCGGGCCACCCTGTGCAGGTGACGCAAGGGACTGCTTTTTTTTTTTTTTTTCAAGAACCCCGCCTTTACCAGAAGACGGAAGCAGCACATGCTTTCTTCTACGACGCGACGACAACGCGAGAACAGTTCAGTTTTGTAAGCTGCATGGATGCAGCGTGTTAGTCTTCGTTAACGTCGTGTCTTACAATTGGCCGTGAGCAGCGCTGCGATTATATTGACGTCACAGATAGGGCAGCAGTTGTGGAATACGGTAGCATTGCTTTCGCGAGATAGCAGCTGCAATCATCGTTAAACTTGTCATTCATAAGTTCAGACGAGCTATCAATGCTTCATTGCGCGTCGGATGACATCGCCGACTTGCTTTTCGCGCTATGTTTACACCCTGGCCAGCCGTGGCGGGCTGTAGCAGATCTCGTGAAGTCATCCGCGACCGATTCTCGTGACATCATCTCATACCCCCCACGGAGGTCGGAGCAGCTCCCGGTTTCGATTTTCGATCTGACTTGCTGTTTATTGCCTCATTAAAATGTTTGACGAGCGCCTTGACAAAGCGAACTACCCTAGCTTTTAGAGAACTGTCAATACTAGTTTAAAGCAGTATTATCTCAGCATGATCGAAAATGCACCGGGGTTCCCACTTGAAGAGCGTCGTCCCTAAACTATTAGTATGCGCTTAGCATAAATTGTGAATGCTTTCGAGCACTATACATGACTACTATGGGAGAACCAGAAGCTGTCCCGTTAGCGTGAAGTATGAACTGTATTTATAAAAAAAATTGTACATGATTCAAAGCACTCCGTAATATACAATGAGAGGGCTGTAAGCAGCTCTCCCTCAGACACGGTAAAGACGCACGTCAGCACAGCTTATGACTCGATGTTCAGAAAAAAAATGTTTAATGATTTAGAGTGCTTCGTACTCTGCTATGGGAGAGCACAAATTCATCACATGGACCTCACATGATGAGGCCAGCAAAGTTGGACCAGCAGGGAATCCTAGTGGATTGGTGATGTGTTAAGAAAAAAATGTTTTACGACTTAGAGTGCGATGTACTCTAATATGGGAGAGCATTGAGATGTCCCAGTGAAATGGTATACGCACAAAATATCTGTGTATTTCAAAAAAAATGTGTATATTATAGAAAAATGTGTAGTAATACAGACGTATTCAAGGGCTTTACCAATTCAAGCAACGCTGCATGCTCGCTCTCGTCAGTGTGAGGCGCCTATACGCAATAAACTTAAGCAGCTGTTTCCCCTCCTTAATGTGTAGGAGAAATCTGTGATGCGATTTACTGCTGGAGGTAAGGTGGTCTTGTGTGTTCATGTCCCGCAAGCTGTGCAGGTGGCGTCAATGGACCGCTTGTAGCCCAGAGCATGCCCAATAAAAGGTGATTTAGGTATGCTTACACTACGCCGCATATGTTGCCATTGACCACATGTTGTGCCTCTGTAAAAAAAATGTTTGACACCAGTACCGCCAGTCTCGTCTGAGTAGCTCCTCTGCGCACAGCCTTAGTAATCGAAATGGGCAAGAAAATAATGTGAATGACAATTTAGGAAAGTCACAAAAGCTTATTCTATCTAAATGCACAGGCCACGTGTTTGAGATCCCGGGTTCACAAGAACGTCCCAATGAATTAACAGAAATAACGGAAAAACCACTTAACTAATCGAAATCAATAGAACACTAAGCATCTTGTTTACTCCACCAGCAACATCGAGGGAATCCTAAATAAATTAATCGGACTTTCCTCTAGTCCGCCTCTTGACACATTTTTCTTTCGAGGCAGGCATTGCATGAAAGCTTATTCTTTAGAAGCACGGAGCAACATATACACGTACAGCATTTATAGGATAAGAGTGTGTTAAACGTTGATCGTTGACCTCTCTTGCGTCACCGCTACCAGGCTTGAGCGGTCGGCGGTCGAAGACTGCGTGCTCGGCGAAACGGGAATCAAGATTCGCAAGGGCGGAATGGTCACCGTGCCTCTCTACGCGCTGCATCGAGACCCAGAATTCTTCCCAGAGCCGGACACTTTCAAGCCCGAGAGGTAATCTCGCGTCATCTTACTGGCTGTTTCGAATACATAGAGCAACGTTGTGTTTCGGCAAGGACAAAGACGAGTAGCAAAAGGTTACATTATGATACATTTTGGGAAGAATTTACTGCCACGCAATAGATGACGACTTACGAAAAAGACAAACGGGCGCAGTTTTGCATTGGCAGTTTATTGGTGAACCTTCTATGAGCTGTCACTTTCTGCTGGATGTTGTAGATATCTCGCTGGCAAATTATTGTCGTGAAGTGTGTGAAAGTTCTGGTTGATCTCGCCCATGCGCTCCTCAACTGGCCTGGGTTTGTATTTGTAGTTCCTTTTCCCCAAGAAACTGATTTGTGAGGTCACGTTTGCTTTTCTTCTTTCCTGAAATCATCGAGCGTTGTTTGCGTTCTGAATTCTCGCCAAAATGTACTCAGATAAACTCGCTCAACTCTCTATACTCTTATGCGACATTAAGGATGTACGTGACCTCATTAAGGAAACACTAACCACTTCCTTATGCTTCGCCTAAGTCGACTCGAAGGCGATGGCCTCCTTTTTCTTCTTTTTTTGTTTTTTTTTCTGATTCTTCTGGGGTGATTGAATTAAGGCCAGCTTAAAGTTTCCTAAATATACCGTGGATGGAACTCTGGCGCTAGTGTCCATGGTGGCTGCAATGCAAGGCGCTTCAGCGTGCATGGGAGTGATGATTAGCACATGGATTTGCCTATATAGTCTTCGTACTTCACGATCCTTATTGCTTCGCGTGGCTTCAAGCTGCTTTGTTACGGAACAACATTCAGCAGTTCAGCCTCACCACCTTAATCACTTAGTTTTACCATTTCAAATCGGGTCACGAAGTGCAAAAGGGCAAACCAGCAATAAACGAAGTCACAAGTATGATTCGCCGATGTGATTACTAATACCAGGCAAATCCGTGTACTACAAATCATTGCCATGGTCGCTGAACAATAGCAGCGTCAGAGTCCCCTCTGGTTCATTTTAGAAAACTCTATGAATGCAACCACCATTTTCTCTCCACCCAACATGCTTCTGCGTAGCCTCCGGGATCAGTTGCAGCAGAAGCTTCCCGCATCTCATTAAGTTTCGCATTGCCTCCGGGATGGCCCACCAATAACAAAGTGGCGGTGTCCCTCGAACAAGCCATTTCCCGGTGACGTCACAAACTTTGGAAGCCTAACACATCACAAACCGTCTTGGGGCTGGCGTCATCACACGATATACAGATTGCTTTCATTATTCGTGCATGCTGACCGACAGGAAAAGATCGGTGGTGCCGCCGACGATATTTACTCGTTTGATGAGGCATCTAAGGTATTCGCATTGACAAACACAATAGCTAAACCTTATTCAAAATGAAATATCGTTAGTTCAGCTTACATCTGCCGTGCTTACGTCTGTTTTGTATACGAAATGTTCAATGAGAGATGTTCTCATGTTTGTATTGTAATAAAGGAACACTAAAAGGGAAAGATGTTTTTGTCGTAGTAGTAAATTACCTTTTCCCAGTGCTCAAAGTACCCCTCACCACCTAAATGTCTGGTAGGCAAGTAATCACGCGAAGAAAATGCTGGTGGCGACGCCGCACTGAAGTTCCCACGCCAAAATGCCAGGATGTTGCAAACTTTGACGGCGCCAAGTAGGGTGTACTTAGCTCGTACTCTTTAAAATTAACTACAATGTCCTAGGAGAAGGCTAGATGCCTTAGGTGCCAAGTTTCAAGCAGTATCAATTCCCAACTTGCAAAAATAATTAAAGGAAGACCACTCCGACCTTTGTAATGAGAAGGCGATGTTCATGAGCTATTTCCGCGCGAAATTTACACAAGAACAAGGTAACCAGTTACTTTAGCATTGTCACCAACACTATAATAGTTACATTGATGACAGTAGAGCTTTCAAAGAATAGTTTATTTCTTATAAACTGATGTACTGTTTCTATTTTGTGTCTCTCACGTCAAAACCCCAGGTGGTTGAAATATCCGGAGCACTCCACTGCGGCGCCTCCCGTAACGATAATGTGGTTTTTGGACTGTCTGTACGCGAGATAAACTATAAATCCCAGCTATTGTTATATCTTGTGTCTCCTTGGAGAGAACGTGGTGCTGTGTGAGGAAAATAAAGGCGGAGTTTACCGTACTGCACTAGGTTTGAATAGCCGACACGAAGGGGGAGGAGAGAAGTAATAGAAAAATGATGAATGAAGGAAGTATAAAGGACGGCAAGCTAATACACACGCAAACGTAGCGGAGTTGACCACGCATACCCACGAGCTCACCCACTTCGAACTGTTGCAAAGCGTGGTTTGAATGGGAGTTTGTTTTTATGATTATTTGTTATAGACACGCAAAAAACACGAAAACACATGATGAAAAATAAGAAAAAGAAACGAAATTAGACATTGCTGGTATTTCGTCATGCATTTCGATTTCTTAGTGTGGTAATTGTTTCAGCACCATGATAATATGACCCTCGAACACTTACTATCTCTTGGAATCCATTCTGCCACTCTTATTCACCAGCGGTTATTTTGCCTTCCCACTACTTGCCTTTGCCATTCCCAGTCCTTCTGTCGTTGCTTTAGCACGCATTGGTCTCCAGACCCTGTTTTCTTCTTGTGCCATAAGGTTACGTGTATAATTTTTTTTTCTTTCGATGTCTCACAGCGTCGGCCTAAAATCGTTTAACGGAAACCTCCAGGTCGCCACTCTGGAGGAGAAGCTGGATATAGGAAGCTAGGTGGGCAGATGAGATTAAGAAGTAGGCAGATATAACGGGGTCACATTGCAAGCACAACACTTGAATGATTGGCGAAACTCGGAGGAGGTATTTGCCCTGAACTGGGCGTATTCAGGCTGCAGATCATTTTGGCCATTTGATTACTCATTTATACTGACTTTTTGTTTTGACAGGTTCAGCGAAGAAAACGTAGCCTCCATCATGCCTTACACGTACCTTCCTTTCGGAGCTGGACCCAGAAACTGTATCGGGATGCGACTCGGGCTCCACGCGATCAAGGTCGCCTTGCTGCACTCCGTTCACAAAGTGCGGTTTGTTCGGGCGGAAAAAACACAGGTGAAAATATCGAGAGAGCGAGTATCTGGCTTATTATGTGCAATGCCCCGATAATGAACCGCGACTTTTCATTGTTAGTGTTGTCGTTTTGGTTGTGTACGATTGAGTATATGAAGCTTGGTGACCCAATGAGCAAGGAGTGCTAATTTGGGGCAGGGGGGTGGCAGGGAATAGGCCACTTTTTTTCTAGCCAACAAAAACGTGGTGGTAGAGACTAGGGAGTGGGGAGTGCAAAGGTCAGCCCCTCAGATTGACATAATACAAAGGCTGGGTGCTGCGACGAAACGTGGTCTCTGCTATAGGGGAACACCTATGCCATGAGTGTCACCGAGCCGCAACATAAGGGGGCCTTTACACAATGTTTCGCGTAAAGTTTTTAGCACTGTACCCATTCGAATGGCTAAGCGATCAGGTCTGCTGATATGAAACAGTTACTCTCAGCTATCTCGACCACCATCAGAATCGCAATGTGCAAACTATGCGAGCTACTTCGACACTTGTACGAAGTGTTTTGGTTTATGCTTTGACGGAGAGAAATACGTAATGCGGCACCGTACGTTGGGTTAAATTATTTCAATCGGGCCGAGATTCGGTACGAATGCCGCGAAGACTTTAAAGCCTATATAATTAGAAGAATTAGTGACTCGTATGCCAGTCATGCATGTGTTTACGATCAGAGAAAGAATGCGTACAGGGGTCGCCATTGTCTCTGTCTAGGCCCTGAACATATATTTATTTCTGCGATAGCGAAAATATGAACAGTTTGGACTAGTTTTGCCCATTACCGTGATGCTTCGCATAAAGGTAAAATTGATAAAACTCTTCAGAACATCGTACGTTCTACCTGCGGCTAATGGCGTGCCAACGGGGGCGACGAGCCCGAACGCAGAAGACATCAAACGAGCCGGCCCATCTCCTTTGCTGGCAGGACACATGCGATAAGATCGTCCGCCTGTTTGAATAGTCGTTGAATGCTCAAGCGGGCAGGAAACGCCGCGGCCGTCTTTGAAGGGCCAGTAAAAAACCGTGAGGTCTAAAAATTGTTATAAAAATCAATATGTGCACTTTTGCTTTGTGAACATGCTGCCGCAATAATTTTGCAAATGCGTGCTATATTAAGAATTGATTGATTGATTGATTTGTGGGGTTTAACGTCCCAAAACCACCATTTGATTATGAGAGACGCCGTAGTGGAGGGCTCCGGAAATTTTGACCACCTGGGGTTCTTTAACGTGCACCCAAATCTGAGTACACGGGCCTACAACATTTCCGCCTCCATCGGAAATGCAGCCGCCGCAGCCGGGAATCGAACCCGCGGCCTGCGGGTCAGCAGCCGAGTACCTTAGCCACTAGACCACCGCGGCGGGGCGTGCTATATTAAGAAAGTTACCGGGGTTAGAACATTGGTTTCAGCTGGTTTGAAACTTTCGCGTGGCCTCGCCACCCTTCTCCCTCACAGGGAAGGGAAGGCGTGGCCCATCATCGTGACTGGTTTAGGCCAATCGACAAGCTGCGTGCAACGTCAAGTCGCCGATCGGCGAATTTCCATCACTGCGCGTGAAAGGAGGATCGGTCAGGCGTAGGGAAGGAGTGCGGGAATGGTTTTTCGAAATGGAAGGTCTGCGCTGCACGCAGCGCTGTATTATTCGGAAAGCGTGATCGCCTCGGTGCGCTTTACGAATTGCCGAGCTTCTTTGGAGGGTGTGAAAAAAAAAAGGCCCCATATCTCCATGTTCCACTGCAAATGTCGTTGTATTTTTTTTTCTGGAGAGAGTGAGCAAAACGTTTATTTGATGTTCTGCGCGAGAAAATCGGTGAATGGGATTCTGGAGGCATGCGCGCAGCGGAGGCGAACGAGTCCATCAAGGCACTCTACAGTGTGAGATATGAGCGCCATCTGGCAGTTACCTTGAAAAACTGAGAGATGGCCTCTGATATGGCAAGCGCACGGCGTGAGTGCCCATATTGAAAGTCATAATTTGTCGAATACAAGGCGATGGGTAGGTGCCACCGCCGTGTCGTCTTAGCAAAGCGTAGGAAACACTTCGTTTCGTGCACTAGAATTGCATTGTCAGCGTAGCATGATAACCGTTACGGTCGTTAGAATTACTTATGTATGCTTTCTCTGATATGAAGGAAAACACCACATAGTATTGGCGTGTTCATATTGTGCCTCAGATATATTGCCTCAGATATTATGTTTCAGATCGATTTATTCGGCAATCGCACAAGTATGAAGACAGAAACCAGAGCAATATCGGTGGGCGCTGTGGATGCATGGTTGGAATTTAGCCATTGCGGGCATCGTTTCGGCGAACAAGCAGACAGACAAGAATTCTTCCGTAGAAGTACCCCAAGAAAGACTATAGTCTTTAAAAACAGTCATTAAAAGACTCGAGGTGGCGGGCGGCTCTCGCAACAACTGAGACCTTTGATTTTATCGGCGTGGCCGCCATCACCGGCGCGCGCGCCATCTCGCTATCTCAGCAGCCATTTGCGGGCGGCTGTTATACCCTTCAACGTTCTGCGCTCTCAACGCAAAGAGACAGTGAAAAGTCCCTGGAGTGGTCATATTCTCTTGCCTCACAGTCTTGTAGAGTTTCGTGAGATCGGATTTAAATGAGTTATATACCAGCCTCATTTCGTACGATATCAGAATTTGCTGTTATCGCATTCATTAATTCACCGTTGCAGTAAAATTGAGTATATTTACTTTGTTTATTTATTTACTTATTTATTTATTCATTTTTTATTTATTTATTTATTTACTTATTTATTTATTCATTATTTATTTATTTATTTATTTATCTCAAAAACTTCCATTTTCATCTGAGAGCATAGCAGGTAGAGGGCAATAAACGCGTTCCATGGTCTAGCAGAGTGTTACTTGGTTACTGATCTTACAAAAAAAAAAATCAGAAACTTTTGAAACAAAGATCAATGACCCAAAAAGAAAGGAACGCCACACAATCCAAAAGGCGATACTGTGCACCCACAAGCGGATAATATCAAGTTTAGTCATACTACTAGCTACAACGATTCGCAGCTTGACAGAGGTTTCGAAGCGTATAATATGGAATCTTATACAAGGTTGACTTCAATTCGTCAACATACTCTGGTGTTACTTGTCTAGAATTAGGTTCCACTTTCGACAAGTTACTCTTTTGTGCAAGACGCTGTCAGTCAAGGTGCGGCAGCGAAAATTTTTTGCTAAGCGTTTCAATGCTTTCGCAAACGACGTAACACTTTCTTGTTTTTTCGTAAGCTTCCCTAACTTTCTTTGTGCTTTATGCAGGTCCCACTGAAAATGGCAACCGTGTTCGGAGCCGTCACTGCCGAAGATATGACATGTAGCAATTCGAAAGAGGATGCCATCAATTGCATAGTGACGAGAAAGCGAAAAATCGGGCAGCCATGATGTCAGAAAAGATCTGTGTCCCATTCTATTTTCTGTGTGCTCGAAGACCACTAAAACTATGTTATCACACTTTCTATTTTGCCGGTACAGATGCGCGGGGCTTGTACGACACACTTGTTCCTTTAAAAGAGAAAGTGTGTGCACATGCGCTTTCCCGAATTTGAATGAAAAGTTTATTGAAACTTCCAATGGTATTCTTTGCATAGAAATACACATGATCATTTGTGTAGATTACCTTTAGTAACCAAAAGAGTTATTATTCCGAAATTGCACCGCGGCACTTGTAGAATACCGAAGGAGGAGCGAGGCGTTCAAAGCCACAAACACTAAAAATGTCGAAGTAGTCAATAAGCGCCAATATGGTATAGTTCTCCCTTGGTCAGCCAACTGTACCCAGTGCAGGCAGCAGTTGTTCCTGCATTTATTTGCCTGGTGCACTTCAGGTGCAACAAGCACCTTCACAATAAAATACTCTATACATGAAAATTGAAAATAAACGCGGTCGCCGCATGCTTGACCAAACCGCTGTACGACTTACGCTTGCTTGCCTGTTTTCACGCAGGCGTCTACAATGCACGCACTTCTGGTAAGCTTTTCTGCTTCTAGATCGCCCTTACTATGGCTACGCCCTGCCAGCAGAACCATATTTCACATGCTTCATCTTTTTCGTCGCATCGACTGGCGAAGTGACAGAGCCTGAACTCGTATCACGTCCTGCTTCTAGTTCACTGCCGCTTACTAATAAGCGAACGGAATAAGCACTGCAGAAAGGCGACGACGTCGATAAGCGAATGCCGTGCAAATGAATCTTTTCGGTGCCGAGACACGCCAGCGGGAAGAGGAACGCGTTCACGCGTTCGCGCCTCAAGCTAGAAACCCTGCCTCTTAGTTTCCAGAAGTGCTCTGCTGTGGTGTAAGAATGACCACAGGCGTACTAGTTACCGTAATACAAAGGCACTGTTTCTGCCCTTAAATGATCACGCTTGAAAAGAGTGAATAAAGAGTACCAGTGTTTATTATGGACATGTTGATGCTGTTGTAGCTCTGCGCTCCTCTTGTGCAGCTGCCCACACAAGGGTAAAGCGAAGCCTCGCGGCTCAGCCAGTCTGACAGAACACTCTGGCCTTTGGCCTCGCTGGACACATCAGCCGCATTCCTCTCAGTTCTCAACTCGCCAGCCGCCGTCACTCTATACTTCCCTTGCCTACAACATTTTAAATGCGAAGCATTTCTTAGCAAACTACGGTGACTTTGAGCGTATCTATCTATCTATCTATCTATCTATCTATCTATCTATCTATCTATCTATCTATCTATCTATCTATCTATCTATCTATCTATCTATCTATCTATCTAATCTATCTATCTATCTATCTATCTATCTATCTATCTATCTATCTATCTATCTATCTATCTATCTATCTATCTATCTATCTGTCTATCTATCTGTCTATCTATCTGTCTATCTATCTATCTATCTATCTATCTATCTATCTATCTATCTATCTATCTATCTATCTATCTATCTATCTATCTATCTATTTTCTATCTATCTATCTATCTATCTATCTATCTATCTATCTATCTATCTATCTATCTATCTATCTATCTATCTATCTATCTATCTATCTATCTATCTATCTATCTATCTATCTATCTATCTATCTATCTATCTAGCCGCCTATGACTTATAGCTCTCCTGGCCGTTTCGATAATGGTATCGATACCAAACTTGGTATGTTATAACATGACTGCATGAAGAACATATTTGACTAGTCATAACACGAAAATCATGGCATGTATGTCATGAGTGTCATGATTTACATTTCATGGTCCTGCCGATCTTGCGGTGGTTTCGTTCAAATGGCATGTTGCAAAACTGGTATGGTATGAAATGATTGCATGGCGAACACAAGCGACATACTCTAACATGAAAATCTTGACATGCGTGTGATGTAACAACATGGTTACATGGCAAGCTTATGATGCGCTAGCAACCGTTTCGATAGCCTCACATGTATCAAGCTCGGTATTACGCGAAGAGAATGGACGACATAGGTAAATGACACATTAAACATGATAATCATGACATGCGTGTCATGTAACAACATGACTACATGCAACACTCATGATGTGCTCGCGGCCTTTTCGCTAGCTTCCCTTATACCAAATTTGGTTTACGGGACGTGAATGGATGACGAAGGTATGATACTGGTGCAAATATGATAAACATAAGACGCGTGTTATGTGAGAACATGACTACATGCCCCAGCTAAGGCGTCAATACATTTAGACGTGACGTGGTGCGCGTGCTCAGCGGCGTTGATTTGTCGGGTCACGCCGGCGTTGCCATGCCAGGCACCGGTCCTGCCATATACTCACAGGCGCGCACCGCGCTGTCTGCAATGACGCAGGCGCGTTTCAGGGCGTCCGGCGTCCCTCCGTCACGAAAAGAGGGAGACGCAGTGTTGTCTGGGTAACGTATCGGTGCGAATTCCAGCATGTCGCACTTGGCGCCGGTTGCCGTCGGTTGCGCCGACGGACGGTGGTCGCGCCAGTCGCGCCTGGCGTCAGACTATAGAGTGCTTGTGTTTTGTTAACGTAGCGTCGCTGTGCACAGTGTGCGGGCGCCTCAACGTTACATTGGAGTATATTGGGCCCTTCATGATGCGCTCGCGGCTGTTTCGCAAGCTCCACATATATCAAATTTAGTGTTACGTAATGTCGATGGATGACGAAAGTATATGACTGGTGCAAACATGATAATCCTGACACGCGTGTCATGTTAAGAACATGACAACATACGACGTTCATAGCGTGCTCGCGGTCGTTTCGCTACCTTCACATATACTAAATATGGTACCACGGGATATGAATAGATGACGAAGGTAAACGACACATCCAAACATGATAATCATGGCACGGAGGTCATGTACGACACCCCTTACCTCTACCTCATAACGTCGTACTGATTTTAAAGTGACATATCAACATTTCTCATTGGTGCTTCGCATATCATCAATTCCTACTGTACGTGGGATCTGCCAACTTTTTGTAAAGATTACCCATATGCTTTGTCAACGTGTATGTTAACTAATAGAGCTGCAACCACAGGAGTGCGCGAAGGGGGAGAGGGGGCGAAAGATGGGCGCAAAACCAACTCCATACATTCACATTAAAGGGAGGGGGGTACGAGGTCAGCCCCATACACATGATATGATAGGGAGAGAATGGGGTAGCGACAAACCGGGTAGTCTGAACGAGAATTATCGATTGAATAAGTCAGATAATATACCAATGCCGGATATTTCTTCAGACTGTGGGACATCTGTAGCTATGCTATTTGTTAGATTTATCTTTTCTGAAGGCCCCTATGGAAGTCCGTTTAGGTTAAATATGTGGTAAGACACATGTTTTGCATAAGTCGGCTATATGTGGTCAAAAACGATTTCAAGGTTCTGTTTTTCATTATACCAATAGAAGGGACTTCACTTAGTTTAACATTTAATGGTCCAACAAGTTGATTGGTCTTTATTTGTTTCTCAATGCCTTGGCAGCAACCCACCACGAGGGGCTGACCATGAAACAGACAGTGCCTTATCTTTGAAATGAAATTGTTTTGCCAGCCGAATACTGTTTAGATAGGGGTGTTTTAACAAAAAACAGATGGGTAAAACCTGGAACAAAATAGAATAAATGTACGAAAGGAAAAAGAAAAAACCAAGAATCTAATATGGTTGGAAATGAAGTTAATTCATGAGTTTAATATTCTATTCTTTCTGCTTCTCTTAGAACATCGCATGCGGCTTTTGCAACCGTTCGTGTGGCTAAAGCCCTTTTCAGTTGCTCCAAAGGCAAGAACCACCGGAAGGGATAAACCTAAAGCCTACCTACGGAGGGGTTCTTCTAACAGTCTTTTCTTTTGATTCTTTAGTAACCTACATGTTGCCCAGAATTATGCAGGAATTCATTCTCATTGCAGAGGAGGCATAAGGAAGACTGTGCCGGACCAGACCTGTGTATAGGTAAAATTACAGTGCAGGGACATGGCATCGTAGTCTTGTAAATGATATATCTGCCCTTCTATAGGAGTGGCATCAAATTTATAAGCGTACTTAAGACTATTAAACTCAGCTGTTGACAAGCGAAACTTTTCAAAATTATCTGATGTGAGAAATTTTTCAAATCGCGCGATTGCGATAAATTCTACGCCGACAATATAGAAATTGTGAGACCATTATGTGAAGCCACTGCAAGCGCATCTGCATATTCGCTGAGGGTTAAGCCTTTATGTCCTGGTACCCATACTTAGTGACAGAGGTGTAAATGTCTTGGAGAAAGTGCATAAAACAATAAAAGCATTTGACAGATTAGGTACCGTTAATGAAGTACACACAGGCAGGCACTCTGTAAGTTAATGAAGTACACACAGGCAGACATCTGTTGTGGATAGAGACAATTTCCGTAATGCTAAGATAACTGCAAGTAATTCCCCGTGATAAATAGGTGTAAAATCAGGTAAACGAATAAAAAACACAAGTGCAACACTGAACATGCAACTACAACTCCTGCCTTTTCACCACAAACTGAACAAGTGCTCGTACGCTATGGCATTCTGCGTCATTCTTTGAAGCGTGGTACTCGCTACACATTTGCAAAGAACTTGAGCATTTTTTCAATGTTGTGGCTGATGACGATGCAGAATTACGTCTGAGCTTTTTGTAATGAGTTGGCGCATTCTATCACCCACTTGTTACGCAATTCGCATTGTGTCACGTCTGCTAGCTGTTTTGTTGTTAGAAAACACATTATTGCTCAATTTATAACGCGATTCCTTCCCCGACATGAAGCCTGCCTAGGGTTCGTTTGCAACAAAGTTTCAAAAACAGCCATGGCTCAGTGGTGGAATACTGAACTGACACAAAGAAGACTGAGACTCCGGTCCTATTGCTTCCTCGTTGTTGTTTATTTAGGCAGTTTTTTTTATTTTGCTCGACAATGGTTACAGACACCAGTGGTGGTCGTGGATAACTACGACGCTAAAAATTACCCTTGTTGGGATCTCATAACAGCTTTCGCAGTAAAACGTTTGTACTCGTTTGCAACCAATCATGCCTCGTATTTTACGGCGCTATATCAAATTGTGCCGAGAAGAATACTAATTACGTCCGACATTGTTGTTAAAGAGAATTGATGCAATGATTGAACAATGTAATAATAAGGCTAACACACTCATGACTGGACTCACTCGGACAGACTCAGTGTGAGCCATGAGTTTGAGTGTGAGTGAGTCCGGGCGGGCAATATTTTGGTGAGTTCGAGTCCAAGTCAGCATTTGGCACAAAATATTTTTCATGAGTGAGTCTGTGTGAGTCTGTGTGTGTGAAGTCAACAAATTTTGCTGACCTATGCTCCAGGCATATTATTAAAATGAAGTTCCTGAGCATCAGTTCATTTTTGTAGCGTTTGCTGAGTGACACGTGTGAAAGACGTGAAGTAAGTTGTATAGCTTTTGGTAATCTTCAGCTGCTCCGCTAACCCCGTTCCAGTGGCACGCAATAGAGCATCTCCGGAGGTCGCGGGGAAAGATGACGCAGCTGCTGCAGGGTTCACGCAAAAGAACCTTTATTTCGAGGGCCACCGAAGTGTATACGCGCACGCCATTCCCTCGTGTTCGCTTCACCAGACCATGTCCACTCACTGTTTGAACGTCGCTTCCCCTCGCGACGCTGCTGGCACTGTTTTCAGAGAGCGGCAGCGTCGGCAACGGGACTTGTATTATCGAAAGAACAACTGACTGACGTGAAGTCCCTTTTAATCCGACTCTGCACTGACACGAGTCGCACGCACGCCGTAAGAACCGTAAATGTTGCCACTCAAGACGTCGATGGTGCCTGTGGCAGTAGCCCTCTCGATCACGCTATTTGTTTCGCAAGTTTTCGTAGCAGGCCAAACGAAGTCACCCCCAAAGTCAATCAAAGATGCGTGCGCTCAGGAGAAGCCTATAGTCTGGAAAAAT